AACGATGCTGTTGCTCACTGCTGTGGCGCTGAGCTCGACCCTGGGGCTCGCCTACCCGGCCGATTTGGTGAAGCTAAACGGAGAACTCGAGGCCACCGTCGCGCCAGTGACCACGACTTCTGAAATTGGGACTGTGGATGACAGCCTTGAAGCCCCAGCCAAGCAGCGGTCTCGGAGATTTATCTCTTTTAACTACAGGCCAATTTCTCCTGATCATCTTGTTCAATTGATACAAGATAAATCTGCTGGACCTGCTCAGGGACGTGAAGATGTGATCGCTGCTCCTTCGACACCTGACAATGCGGCAAAATCTCCAGTGATTGAGAGATCCGGTCCAAGCGGACTAGCGAATCCCTTAGATTTATTTAGACAAGTGGGCGACAATATAAAAAAGTGGAAAGAACACATCATTAATGCCATGCAATGAAATCAGATCTTTTTTCTTGTTGACTTTTTTGCATACGATGTAAAATATTTGGGCAGGTTTAAATTTAAGAGAACGCCTCTATAGCTATATACATATAGTTCTATAAATAGCTCCATGACTATATTTTTATTGCTATAGCCTAACTATCTATAATTGAACGACTATTTAACTAAGATTCTGTAAGTCTATAATATTGTAGTCATCGCACGCCAAGCTCTCATCAACATCAAATATAATGCAATATCATCCATCTGTACGTTGATGTTTTAATCATATTGACCATAATATCAACAAGCAGTAGTTTGTTCATGCTGAGCTTGTGGCGAGTCACCGTTGCTAATTTTTTCGGAAAGGTTGCCACTGAAGCAAATAGTTACCGCCTACTATATGGATTTCAGAGATAGCGTATATCAGAAAATTAAAATCTGTGAAAATTCAGCTTTCATGAAAGTTCTCCTCATTGTGTCACCTGTAAAAAAAATTTTGATGAAATATCTTGATCAAACCGACGAAAATTTAGTGATGGAATCTTTCGCTGGTGGTACAGACGAATATTGGTTTTTCAATTCAAAAACACGTACGAACTGATATCCTGCAGGCTTGTTTCAAAAACGCAATCGTGTAATATTTTATATGCAGCTATATTGCGAAGTAATCTCTTAAGTTTAATTCTCATAAAATCACGATGACAGTTCAAAAACCCTTATCCAACGACTGAAAATACTTTTTGGTACCCTTCAATTACAATGTGGAATTTGATTTAGATTTCTTTATACCTCAAAAATACTTCTGACATGATTGATCAGTACAACAGTCGCGGAGCAGCTAGTGAAAGCCGCTGCATCAGAAGTGTGATCTTCATCTTCATGTCATTGAAATCATTTAAATGTGACGAACCGAATTTAAAATTAATAACTTTTATATTAAAGTTCATAATTGCTCATTAATCACTTGTCATTAACTCGCGCAATGTTTGAATAATTACGAAGAGATATGTGTTTTTTTTCAAATATATCATTGTTTTTTTTAATTAACCGCTGCGACTGACAAATGGTTTGATATAATTACTGTGTTTACCTACTGAAATGTGATACTTCACAATTTTTAAATTTACATAGTGATGTAATAGGTGACCTGTAAATTATTTTATAGCGAAATTTGCAACGTTTCATAGCTAAACAACGATTGAAGTTTTGCACAATGCGCTTTTCACTTGCATTTCAATTTAAAAAGCTCATTCGTTAGCTTAAACTTATTACTCAATAAGTATTCAAATGTAAATTAGCAGTAGCTAATTAGTCATCGAAGTTGAATTGTCTGTCCTTTGCTGGCATTTGCATTTGCAATGTTATAGAATTACTGAAACGGACCGACACATGTATCTATTTCAATGTTTACTAATTATGATGCGTTCTTACCGTATAATAATACTTTTAGGATTAAGAGGAACATGCAGAATTTTGCAAAAGAACTTTTTTTATCTATATTTTCGCATTTCTTTGCAAATTAAATTAAAGTTCACCGATAATTAATGGGCAATGGGAAAACAGATGCCCTCACTTTCAGCAAAGACTTTGCCAGAAGTGCCAGACAACCTAAATGGCGCTTCATCTGAGAATATCAATCTGATCCTCTGTTCAGCGGTCCATTTCCTGTACTTCCAGGAAGCAGAATTTCCTGTAGAAGCAAACCTGTCATTCATGTTTTTCTTGTTGGTTGGCACTTCTCGTAAAGTCCTGGTCAGGAGGAGGTCAGGTGAATGCCTCAAGCCGGAATGTCTTGCGGCCAACGTGAAGCAACCAGGCACTGTACATGTTCGGGGCTGCTACTCAGTTCAGGGACAATTTCATCCTTCCACGAACACGGCAATGAATACAGTCTGGTACGAAAAAGTTTTGATCGAAGGGTTGATTCTCTCAATTGACAATCAGTTTCCGGACCAAAATTGTATATTCCAGAACGATCTAAGTCCTATAGTCATCGAGCCGGTGACATCAAAAAGCTTCTCAAAGATTTTAGGCATTGAAGAATTTAAACCATGGCCTGGTCCAGATTTGAACCCATAAAATGCACAATAGCGATATTGTTTTAAACTTCTTCAGAGCGGAAAAAAATTAATATATAGATCGTCAGACTCTTCAATGAGAATTTTTTACCAACCTGCATGGCATGAAAGACGTCATGGATCAAGTAGCAACAATTTCAGATTCAAAAGGGGCCACTTGTTCCAATTTTATACCCATACTCTTAAGATCAGTACATTATAGTTTCAGAAACTACCCCGACAGTTGACATACTCATGTACGCAATTATTGTAAGGTTACAATTCACATGACTCGTTTTATTCACAATTCGCATGACTTAAAACTTCAAAAGACTCGTAGAGTGTCTGCATAATTCATATAGCCTTGGCAGAATTTGACAATTGAACATGTTCCAAGATACATAGACTATGTATAAAATTCATCCATCTTGACACTTAACCGGTTGGACTGGACCAAGTAATTATGACCAAACTCCCGCTTAATTAATGTCATCATTGATATTTTTACAATCTTATTCTATTTTTACACGATTCAACTTCGTTTGGCGAATTTAACAAGTTAAATTTTATTAATAAATTCTAATGAGACAGTTAATTGAATTCTAATGAAACAGTGAATTATATGCAGTTTACAATGGCTGGACAGAAAATAAAAAAGATAATCGAAAAGAAAAAAAAAAGAAACCAAATCAGCTCAGAAAAGAGTGAAACCAAATCTGCCCAGCTAGAGGTAAACGTTTGCAAGTACTGCAAAGTGATCTCACTAAGCGAAGTCCAGACGGTCACCTGTGAACGATGCGAAGATCTCATTTGTATCAGCTGTTCGAAGTTGAGCTCTAAGGAGTACTTGGCTTTATTGCCGGGAGATCCTGCACCACTAACCTCTTGTCGACTCTGAACGAATGGACCCGCCTGCTGGACGAAAGGGAGGCAGTAGATGCAGTGTACCTCGATTTCGCCAAGGCATTTGACATTGTCCCACATGAGCGGAAATTGAGTCTTTGAGTCTTTGGGAATTGACAGCGATGTACTCAAATGGATCAGAGATTTTCTAGTAGATAGACGCCAACGTGTCAGTATTAATGGGTCCGTATCAGACTGGGCTTCAGTACGCAGCGGCTTGCCACAAGGAAGCGTTCTCAAGCCTGTTTTATTCGTTGCGTTTATAAACGATCTGCCAGGAGCTGTGTCTAGCGTGTGTTCGATGAATGCTGACGACACAAAAATTTATAATACAGTAAAGGATACGTCGCAAAAAGTACAGTTACAAGGTGATTTTTACAGGCTGGTAGACTGGGCTGATATTTGGCAGCTGCGTTTTAACACTGACAAATGTCAAGTAATCCATCTTGGCACGAATAATGAACAGCAAGATTACAGTATGAGAAGACACGGTTGCAACGACAGAGTGATGATGTCGAAGTCAACAATGGGAAAAGATTTAGGAGTTAATATCGACAATGAGTTGAAATTTTCTAAGCATATTGAAGGTAAAGTTAATAAAGCCAATAAACGACTTGGACTGATCAGACGCACTTTCGAGTTCCTAGATGCAGGAACGATGAAGCAGTTGTTTGTTGCTGTCGTGCGCCCGAACCTAAAGTTTGGAAACGTCGTGTGGTCACCGAAACTTGTAAAGGACAAAAATTTAATAGAGAGTGTTCAAACACGTGCAACAAGGATAATTCCGGGCTTGAAAGGCAAGTCCTATGAGGAAAGATTAAAGATTATGAAGCTTCCAAGCCTCAGTTATCGACGTCTGCGTGGTCAACTCATTGAAGCATACAAGTATACTCATGGCTTATACAAGGTCCCAGAAGGATTTCTAGAATTTGAAACAGGAACCAACACCAGGGGCCACGGCTATAAACCAAAAAATACTGCGTTATAACACATCCATGCGACAACATTTCTTCTCGCTTCGAGTCACCGACATTTGGAACAGCCTCCCTGATAGCATCGTTGACGCTCCGAGTATAAACGTCTTCAAGAACAGACTAGACGAAGCTATGCAGGAGCATATGTTCAGTCTTAAAATGCCCAGCAAATTACGGACCAGGCAATAAGACTAGACGAAGCTATGCAGGAGCATATGTTCAGTCTTAAAATGCCTAGCAAATTACGGACCAGGCAATAAGTCCAGCAGCTATCTCAATCAATTGTCAGTTATGGAAAGATCGAGTTCCAAAGGCCGGATCCCTTGTGAATCAAGTCACGAAAAGATCAAGAATCGGCAACAGGCTATGGGCCTATTTCTTCAGTGCCAACACTTCTATTCTATTCTATTCCATTCTTTTCTATTCTTTTCTATGCTATTCTATTCTATTCTGTTCTCTTCTAAATAAAGTAATATATACGCCCAATCAAATTCAGAAAGTTCAAAGTTATTAAATATTTTTATTTGAACAAAATGCCTGGTATCGTCTGAATACTGATAGCATGTTGTGACATTATTTGAACTGCGAATGACACTAAAAAAGTAAAATGACATGAATTGAACAAAATTTGGACGTTGTGAAACAGTTCTCCTTGACGTGAACGCTTCAGTTTCAGGAATGCAGAAAGCCTCGACCATTGCACAACCTGGACTCTGGAGATGTTTCCTAATAGGTACTCATAGAAATAAGTCTTAAGAAATTTGCTGTATTGTATCAGTATGAGACTTTATCATCTACAAGCAATATCTCGAAAAACAAAATTTTCCAAGTAGTTTTTAGTATTTTTCTAAGAAAATCGCACATGTAGCGGAATAGCCTATCTCAACCGACTCAACGTCTTCAACACTCAACATAACATAGGAACCTACCTAAGAAGTAGGTAGGTACCTATATAGGCCTACATGATCAAATTGATTGAAACTTTATCTTGGACTACCAGTTCTTGTAAGTTTTGTCTGCAGAAGCTCTCAGGCCCGCCCAACGGTCATCCTTGCGGTTGTCCTGTGGCTTTAAGTCCACCCAGCGTGGACACCCGGAGAAGAAGAAGAAGAATTGTAAGTTTTGTGAGTACCTAAGTTAGCAGTGTAGGTAAACTTTAGAATTTTTCTGAAAGTAAGGTTTTGTTTTGAATACCTACTACAAATACAATAGTATATTGTTTGCCTTTGCTCAAGCCTCGATGCTCATTGTTTTGAATGGAATTTGAGCCAAATTTTCTTGTCCCAAACTCAGCAAACTGGAAATTTGGCTGAGCCTGAAGCCACCTTCCCACCTACCTGTAAGGCTGTAGTATCTGAGTATCAGACAAAAATGCCTAAGAATATGGCCAATGGCCATTTTCAATTTCTAATCAGGCTCTAGCCTCTAGGTAGGTATGGCCCTTTCTAGCTTTCTTGATTTCTTCAGTGGAATCAAGGGCAGACTGGGTAGTGCTAAATAATTATTTATTAACTACTAACTACTAGTCTATTTTCACTAATAATTTTCGAAAATCATCCCTGAATAGGTTAGGTAGGCCCAGGATTGGAATTTCCCTACTTAGGGTAAACGCCTTATATTCCAACATCATGGGTAATTCTGACACTTCTTGACTTTTTTCCTTTATATTAAGCATTTAAGCTTTTTCTTAGTTCCATGCATTTGTTGATGGTTGAAATAGTGACATCATAGGGTAGACGCGGTATATTCCGACATCGTAGGTAATTCCGTCACTTCTCTAGTTTTTCCTTTATATTAAGCTTTGTTTTAGTTCCATGCGTTCATTGATGGTTGTCATTGGTTGAAATGGTGACGTCATACATTTGCGTGTCAAAATGCTGCAAAAACACTAGGTCTTGGCCATCTAGTGGGAAAATATTGAGATCCAAAAAGAGACAATGCATGCCACCTGGTGAGATCATCAAAAAATGTGTCAAATTTGACAGTTGACCTTGCTCTACCAGNGGGTCATAAACGATAGCCAAAGTCACTCTGGCGTTTATGACTTTGTTTACGACCCTGGCGTTTATGACCCCGGCGTTTACGACCCCGTTTTTGTTTGCAAAACATAATCAAAAACATGGCCAAAGTCACCCCAGTTGATGGTAATTAATGTTTATGGTAATATCATCATTAAAGAAAAACCAGTAAAATCACTGAAAATGTCATTTATTCTACCCCTACATCATCTACAATGAAAGAGGAGGACTTCAGAGTACTGTTAGTAATGGATGAGTAGTACACTCTGCATGCTTCAAATATTTTAAAATGAAGTTTTATTGCAAGTGTCCTGAGTAGCCCCGTTCAACAGGGCTACTCGGGACACTCTTTTTTTTTTTGCTTCTGGCACCTTACGAATAGCATATGGAATTTTTTGAAGATGCCATTCGATAGCCCTCGCAAAGAGCTATAAAATGTACCTAAACTTATTTATGAAATGTTTCATGGTAAGAAGTTATTAACAAAAAACGCTCAAAACCGTCCCGAGTAGCCCTGGTTGACGGTAGGTGTAATGTTAGAACAGTTTAGTGCTTCATTGACATGTGCAATGTAACTATAGTTGGGTTGTCATTTTGACTCTTTAATATTATCATTTGAAAGTGGTTCTCAATCCAGCTTAAAGGTCTACCTGTGCTTATTAATTTTAGTTAGTACTTAGTAATGAACAGTATCAAGTGCCTATCAATATTATGCATGTTCAATATCTATTGCTTTAGGTAGTATGGTACAGGCTTGGAATATATCTACCTAGCAAGCTGCGACTGGATTTGCTTGCTATGGCCGGCAAACCATGGCTGCATAGGTTTGCCGGCCATTTTTACATTTCTTCGAGCCATGGCTTCATGGGTTTGCCAGCCATGATTCCATTTCTCTGAGCTGTGAATTCCATATCTATGCCATGAAAAGCCATTTATGACTCACAAACTTGTTATTTACAAAGTCCCATGCAAAAACAGTCACTAGCATTTGTCATCACTTAAGCAGCAACTGAACAAGTGATAATGCATTATGACAACTCTGATGCGACTGTAACTACGCAATCTTCATGGAGGAAACATTTTGAGTTGACTTGTTATTACGTTCTGCATGTTATTTTGGTGGGAGGTGGGAGCATTGAAGGTATATATACTGCAGATTGCAGAAGGTGAAAATTTTATGAAACAACATGTTTGCAAAGTGCAAACTGTGATTTTTTGCAATAAAAAAATTAATGACATTAGAGCAGTGAGATTTCATACCTACTGAAATTATATGATATAAGAGCCGCAATATTTCAGAAACAAATAGGACTTTTCCAGCCCTGGTATGGAATGCTGCCAGCAGGCAGCCCAAAGCATTTTACCAATTCAGTTCAGCAAGCTCACTACATGAAATTTTCTACTATGTAGATGTGGATTGAAGCTCACTTAGCTCACTGGTTCCTACTCACACTGACAGGCAGTTGCACTAAAGTTGAGCACTGATTGGCAGGGTGGAATACTAGAAATAGTAGTTCATATATACAAGCTCCATCCAGCCTAGTAACTTGATCAGTTTCAAAATCTGAGTTAAATATAACAGAAAAATATGGTTTCAGACTTTTACACCCAACATGAATTATGTGCACTTGTTCAAATATTACCATTCCTGAATTCCACCCTGCTGACTGGAAATAGTATGAACTATACAGTGAATGATAGTTTAGTTTAGGTTGTCCAATCCAATATTGTATATGTATATAGGTACATGTTCATTTATGCATTACCTTTGTAGTTACATTGTGGCATATTGTCAGCTTCTGGGTGCCTTACTAAGGTCCCTAGCCCTTATACCATCAAATGGAGTAATGGTATGAAGTTCATGGTAAGAAGTTATTAACAAAAAACACTCAAAACTGTCCCTTTTTACCCCGTTTGATGGTATATACTAATTTATGCTTTTGCAGATCAAGGAGGATTTATGGGTCTGCACATCTGTTGAAGGAGCTTCTCTCACCTACCAGTCCTGCTGCATGTCTCACCTGTTGCCACAAGAAAATACCTCAAGTGACATGCAGGGAAATGGTGGCACTGAAGGCACACAGCAGATGTTGCCAGCAGAGCAACATCCTCCTGTGAATGCCAGTCACAATGGCAGAATGTTTTTGGATTATTGTGCCACATCTCAGGGCCTTCCAATGGACTGTCCTCAGCATAGTCATGATCCTCTTCCTGGAACCTCCAATCAAGATTTGGCTGATGCTAATAATGAATACTTGCCTCCTAATGCATCACCGAATAGTACTGCTAAACATCCAGGATTTTGCATTGTTTGTTGTTTAGAGCAAAGTGACTTGGTTAGTCACATGGCAAAACACTCCAAAGAAGAAATGATTTCAGCATTGATGAATAAATCAAAGTTGTCAACATCAATGGCTGGAACAGGACTACTGCATTGCTTAAACCAACCTCACATAAGTGTTGACTTTGCACAACAAGCAAGATATTCTCAAGTATCCCAGTCTTCTGAGATGAGTTTGAATAATGAATCTGGTATGCAGCAAGCTTCTGTTACAGCAGCAGCTGCAGCTGCCGCACTACTTCATTTAGGTGGTAACTCTGGACAAAGAATGTCTGGTGCTGGTCTATCTTCAGGGCTTGTATCCAACACAGCTACTTTCTCTGATACAGAAGTCACTGTTAAGAGCACAACACATAACCAGCCACCACCAGACTACCACCAGCACCACACTCGAGTATCAACTCAAGTTGCTCTTTGCAACCAAGCCGAGACTTCACTGACAGCTGGAGGTATTTCACATCCTCATTTTAATTGCATATCTGAAACCATGTTCCAACCTAAATCCTTGAGCTCTCCTCAAGTTCTTGTGCAGGACTCAAACTCTGTATCTCAAGCATCAATAAATGATGGCATTGCTGTTCCTAGTATGGATCAACAGTACAACCCAGGCAATCTCCTAACAATGGCATCTCAGGTGCCATTGCTGATGATGCAGAACAACATGGCCCTAACCTATCAATCTCAGGACCTACAACCCAACAGCAATGAATTGAACAATTCCATTCAGCTTCAACAAAATTCACCCTTCCAGCCTAGCATGGTCTTACCAAGCCCACGGTATCGGCTGTTGCCATCACAGTCTCAGCCCCATCCTAGTGTACCTCTGATTTCTCGTCCCTCTTTTCCTGTAAACTACATTGTCCTCAATAACAATGGTAATGCTATTCTGTCTCCAATGCCGACCACTGTCCAGATCAACGGAAACTATTTAATGAACAGCAATGGAAGTATTATGCCTGGAACTTTATCCAACATCCAAATGGCATCTTTTAATCAAGTTGCTGGAGTAACATCATTTGTTGGTCAAGGACTTCCATTACAAACTCAGTTTTTGAAAACAAATGATCCCCAACCAAGTATTTCAGTCTCCCCGTGCTTTATGACACAGCTTGATGCTGCAACTCCTTTATTGAAATCGCATTTTCCACCACCCACCAATCAAGTCAATGTTTCTGGAGATACACCTGCTCCTCTGCAAGACAGCAAGTTGAACCTTGGTCTTCTGGCTGGGAATAATGGAATTACAACCTCTGATACACCTATAATGAGTGATGGATCTTCTGCGTCTGTTGCATCGTTGTCAAGCTGTAAGAATTCATTGACCACTGTGCGCGTGGGTAGTAATATCACAATATCTCTTCCTGAGGGTATGGCAGACAAAAAGGAACGGCTGCAGCAAATTATCAATGAAGAGTTGGTGCGTGGCATCTTGTTGAATGATTCACATGATGTTACAGTTGATACTTTGAATAAGCAAATTAATAGAAATAATATTGCACAAAATAAACCAAGGGACAGTGCTGAACTGGAGTCAGGTGAACCATGTGGCAGATTGAAGGATGACAAAACCAAGATTGAGTATTTCGGTGACATGTCTAATGCTGTGAGTGACGTTGTTATTAATCCTAATGAAGCTGCAGATGATTCCGAGGCATCTCGTAGCAAAAGCTTTCAGTTACATGCACTCAGCACATCTAATAGCTGTATTAAGCCACAAAACCCCTCTGGTAAACTTATTTGTCATGCTTCGGGTCAATCTTCCTGTCCAGCAGTACAAGTTATGTCTTCAACACATGGACAAGAGTTACCTGCACGGCCATCTGATAACATTTTCCTTGTCAATACTTCGCCACCTGCTCTGCCTCAACAAACCTCCACTGACACCCTTGCCTCACTCAGCACTGACTGCCATCTGGCACACAAAGATTCCACCATTCTTTCCCAAGATGCGAACGACGGTCAGCTGGATCCTTTGTGTGTACAAGACAAAGAAACGTCTAATGCAAGAATAAACAAAGAAAATTTTGCTACAAGTTTTTCCAATTTCTTGAAGAAAGACAACACCAAAGAACTTACTGACAGTCCGAGGAAGCGTCTCAGTGACTCTCCCTTTGCCAGCAGCAGCTCATCCTTCAGAGTCCTCAGCCTTGCCGATGTCGAGGATCCGGGCTTATTTGACCTGAAAATTAAGGTTAGTTGGAATGAAAATAGAGGTCTGCACTGGTCAGTAGGAAATATTCAATTTACCTTGCAAGACATTTATCTGGCACAACTGTCATAATTTTCTTAAGCGATCTGAACTGAAATTCCTTATTTATTTTTTGCTTATTCTATTAATTTTGAACTCCTCATGTTAGTAGTTCAAGATACTTGTATGTACTGATTGAGTGTTCCCATACTTGATTTTAGAAACATTTGAAACCAAACCAAATAAGTAAACCCTATCATTTGTTGAATCCTACCAGTCTTTTATATGTTTCTGATGCAGGTCAAACAGGACGATCTAGGCGGCTTGGATGAAGATCGTGTGTTGTTCTCACCCTCTTCATCAGCAAGCAACAACAACAGCAGCAGCAGTGCAGGGCTGCGTGCTGAAGAAGACTTGTCTTTGAGGACGGCGGAGACTCTTGCAGACAGTGACAGTGAACATGATCGGGCCATTTCACGGGCAAGTGGCAGTCGTTGTTTATAGCTCCATATGAATACCATCTTCAGTTCATGTTTTCTAATCTCATTTTGCAGTTTTTGTTTTTCTTGCAATACATTTTTCTTAATTCGTTCATTTTTACTGTATTTTGACTTATTCTCATTCGTTTTTGTTAAATTATTACCATATTATAATGAATCAGTTAGTGAAGCCACTTGCCAGCTGAAGATATTTGCGCCTGAGCAGACCTCATCCGGCGGGGGGAGTGGCGGGGGCAGCCGTGGCAGCTTCTGTCCTGACGATACGCGCTCCTTCCCTGACCCAACCAGCGTCCTACAGCTTACTGTCAGTTGCTGTCACCTTACTGTCAGTTGCTGTCACCTTACTGTCAGTTGCTGTCAACCTTACTGTCTGTTGTTGTCACCTTACTGTCTGTTGCTGTCACCTTACTGTCTGTTGCTGTCACCTTACTGTCTCTTGCTGTCACCTTACTGTCTGTTGCTGTCACCTTACTGTCTCTTGCTGTCACCTATGTTGTAAATCTCAACATGTAAAGCTCATAATTTACAATCATTAGCATCATTGGTTCAATGCAGATGACTGTTATCTATCTGGCTTTAAATTTCGTTCAAATGCCATCATTTTGTGACCTGTACTTCACTGCTTTATGTACTAGAAATTTGTATTATTATTTGTAATTCTGTCATTTCATATGTAAATTTGTATGATTAGTAATGTGAAATCACTAAAATCAACTCTTCCACAGATGGATGCTTCAGACAGCCTTGCTACGTCCGAGGTGCTCCTTACAAATCTGAGCAGTGAAGATAACAGCTCATCCACTAACGTCGCCTCATCCACTGCCTCTCCTGCCTCTCAAACCCACATCAGCTCCCCCAACTCCATCACCTCAACTAGACGAAGGTCTCGCTGCCGCCGCTCCACCACCTCTTCTATTGCCTCGACCTTTGTTGCTTCCTCCTCAGCCTCTCCCTCGTCCTCCGAGTCTGACTCTTTGTTCTCAATAGACTCGCCTGTCGATTTGCGCTACGTCCAAAACAATGGACTCCAGGAGGACAAGATTCAGCCTAACGGTGATACTATCAACAATGTTAATGTCAACACACAGCCTAACAATAATACCCTTAAGGATATTCAAAACAACACGCAATCTAACAGCGATACCATCAACAATAATCGCGAATCAGGATATGCTTGCTCGTCTTGGCAGGATACTTTTTCCACTCCAGCAAGACGAAGAAGGCACGATCCATCAAAGCAACACAAGATAACACAGGACAACATCCATCCAACTCACCACAGCAACACCCAGGCAACCCACCACAGCAGCACCAAGACCCCTGAGGCACGTGCTCCCATGTCACCCGCTAAAAGGAACTTGCTCATGGAAGACTTCGATTTAAGGCTGCCTGAGCTTTCTTCCCCTGAATCTTCCTTGTTATCTCCCGCCTCTTTACCTGGTTTGTTGTCCCCCACTCCGCGATCTTCCTTCTTATCTTCAACTACTCAGCCCTCAGTGTTATCCCCTACGCCAAGACCTTCTTTGTTATCCACTACTTCCCGACCATCGTTGTTATCTCATACAACCCGATATGAGCAACCCTCCTTGTTATCCCCTACTTCCCGGCCTTCCCTGCTATCCCCCACGCCACGATCATCCTTGTTATCCCCTACTTCCAGACACTCTTTATTACCTTCTTCTCGATCATCGTTTTTCCACTCGCCTGCGTCCCCCACGAACTACAGCTCCCGAGAGGTCGAAAGTAACGAGGTGGCTGCAGCTGGGGCTGTCTTACTCAACCTTGACTCTTGTACGGTTATGCCTCACAGCCACAACCTGGTGCCGTGGCTCCCCTGTTCTCCACAGCAGCACCAGCAACATCATCACTTCCAGCATCCTGGCGTTGTTATTCAATCATCCACTACGAATTCTGGCGAGTCAAACTCATCCATGTGCTTCTCGACGTCGGACATCCTGCGCAACATTTCCTCGTATTTGTCGCCCAAGCGTGTTGGTGCGGACACGCCTGGGTTCGACGAAGGATCAGCAGGCCTTGGCTGCTTAGAGACTTCACTGAACCTTGCCTCCTACGACAACGAAATGGCGGTGTTGTCGCCCGCGAAGTCACCATCCAAGATGGCGGTCAGTGCTAACTCCTTGTTTTTTGATGTATATAATGCATGTACGAGGTTAAAGCTAAAATATTCTGCAGTAGATAGTGTTTATGAAGAGAGCAGCGATAATATAGCCTATAGTAATTAGCATTCAAATCGTTGCTATTTAATGTTGAACTTCAAACTCCACCCATTAGGACATGTATCATGTAAAGTTGTAGAGTATTCCTTAAAATACTTTGTTATTGGTCGATTTTGTTTGCAGGGTTTCAAAGCAGCGCATCGTATCCTGACCTCCCCTCAGCCTTCGACTTCAGGCCTGGGCAAGCGAGGGTTGGGTGCCCTTGTCCAGGACCAGGACTATGAGTTCGATTACGACTCTGATGGGTATGCAGACAGCGACAGCGAGCTCGCTGCCCTCACCAGGTCCTCGCTTCCCCTCGAACAGTGGAAGTGTCACGAGTGCAACAAGACCTTCAAGAGTCTCAAGGAAAAACTTCTGCATGCCGGCAAGCACTCCCCCAGCTGTGGAGGGCCTGACGCTGCCGGGATGCCGCCTTTTGTTGAGAACCCTCCTGACGCTGCCAACTTCACAGATGACTGTCAAGATACGTCTGCCAAATGTCTCCAAGTTGGCCATGAAGACGTCAAGCCCTTGGTGAAAATGGAGCTGCCGCTTTACGGCTCTTCAGATGCCCAGAGCGCTGTCTTCGAGCAGCAGCTACTGATGCAGCAGAAGCTGAGCCTGCAGATGCTGGAGGCTTGCAGGACGGAGAGCCGCGATTTCAAGTGTCCCGAGTGCTTCCTGCTATTCTCGAGCGCTGATGAACTGCTGAATCATCGTAAAAAAGTTCTCGGCTCCAAGAACTTCTGTCCTCTATGCCACGAGGAGTTCAGCAGCTGGTGGCAGAAGAGCAACCATATTAAGACGTCGCACATCTCCCAACACTTCACCTGCTCCTTCTGCTACGTCACCTACAAAAGCCTCAGCAACTGGCGACGTCACCAGCTCGTCCATCTTGGCCTGGTGCCGTTCGAGTGCAAGCGTTGCGGCAAACGCTTCACTCGGCGGTACGAGCTTTTGCAACACGAGCGCGTGCACACGGGAGAGAAGCCCTACACGTGCCCTCAGTGCGCCAAGACCTTCGCTAATGAGAGTAACTTGAGACGTCACCTCTTCACGCACTCCCAGGACCAGCAGACCAGCTGCAAGGTCTGCAACAAGTCATACAAGAATGCTAGGTCGCTTATGAAGCACAAGCTTGTGGTCCACTCCGTTGCTGGAAAACCGGCCAAAATACAGAGGGATTTTATTTGCTCCTACGAAAACTGCGGAATGATTTTCCCTTCTGTGAAAAAGCTGTCGTGGCATCAGGAGACACACCAGCGATGGCCCAAACGCTGTGACTTTTGTCAGGAAAGATTCGTGCACCAAAGTAATTTGGTGAAACACATCCGCCAGAAGCACGACCCTCAGTATATGCAGGATAAGGAGGGCAATAAGACTTGTCCCGTATGTTTCAAGGTCTTCCTGAAGACATCTTTACCTCTACACATGAGGATACACTCTGGTGTCAAGCCTTACAAGTGTTATATGTGCAACAAAAAGTTCAGGGTGAAGTGCAATCTAGATACGCATATGTTCATACACTCGGGCAAGCGCGACCGGCCATTTAAATGCAATTTATGCGTGCGCAGTTTCTGCAGAGATAAGGATTTAGATGCTCATGTGCGCAGCCACAAAAACATACGTCCTTTTATCTGCAACGAGTGCGGAAAATCTTTCATCCATAAGAATAACCTGACGGCGCATATGGCGCAACATTCGGGGCAGAAGGAACACAAATGCGCTTATTGTGGCAAAACTTTCTTCCGTAAATACAACTTAATTAACCACGAACGAGTGCATACCGGAGAGACTCCGTATTCTTGCCCCATCTGTGGTAAAACGTTCACTCAGAAGAGCAATTATAATGTACATAGGAAGTCCTTCCACGTCGATAGACATGCTGTGCATGAAGAAATATAAATATATGCCGTGAACATATCTTCATCGATGGTGTCCATCTCTATAATTTTTATACGTGTACATTTTCATTATGTAATACGGATAGAAATGTAAACGCGAATAAGCAGTGCAATTTTCTCATAACTAATGTTAAATCTTCTTGGCTTCTCAGTTATTTCTTGAATACATGGTTTTTTATATCGTTTTCCCTGACCTGATTTGATGTATAAATCGTTGTAATTGTTTAGGTGGCGAGCAGTATTGTAGCTCAGGCGAGACGCTTGGAACTGGCATGCTGCCTCATTGGTGCTGTACTATCATTAAATGTCATGAATAATAACCTGTGTCCATGACTGCAATATTTTCGTGAAAGAATATCATTATGACGTGGTTGACTATTTGCGTTTAAGGCTGTATCGTTTTCATCAATGTGTCCATGCCCGCGCACTTTGTCATCAAACTCGTCATGAGGTTCAAGGAAGTTTATATTGCAGCCGATATACGGTCTCGAGAATCATGCCTTTCTTCTAACTCGCGGAATAATCCCTTTACACGAATTGTAAAATGTAGCGGATGCAATCGGCTTTGATGGAAAGCGCGGAATTAGTTGTTGACTGCAAAACTGGTATAATCGTAGTCATGCTTGACCGTGAGAGCCTGAGGGTAGCAGATGATGCCAGTGAGTTTGGGCTGATGTTTTCTTAAGCTTTAGCTGAGACAAGCCGTGATATCCGTGTTCTGTCGCAGGGGTTCGCAAACTGGGAATAAATTACCCTAGTGGTTGTTGATTGATTTTCCGGTAGCGGTGTAAGGTTGGAATGTATCTCCTGTTTTCTAATTCAGCGCTATGGATAAATAATTATGACACGACTTGTTTAGAAGCTGATATGTTAATTGTGGCATGTTAAATTAATTGGGTGTTGAGGGAAAATGTTCGGGTATCATTAGATTATTGAATTTGGGTGGAAATATTGTAGAATTTTTAGCAGATAAGGAATTTAGGCGGCCGCGACAAATTGTGTGCAGTTGTGAGCTCGAGCATTGTTGTTTTTGTCTAGTGTTACTACACGCAAATTATGCATAAGTTCAACTTTTTTACATTGAATACTTGTTTGACGATACAAGGAGCAGACATTAATGTTTATGAGAGCATGTATGCACAGTGTGTAAGTTGACGGTACTCACAGCCAACTCATGCCAAAAGAATTCTCTTGTTTTTCAATGAATTTCGCATATTCTCGGGATGTGTTTTCGTTGATGAAGCGTACAAATGTCTTGAAAAAGGTGAACTTGAGTAGACTATTATCAGGGTTAATTTTTAACGGTTGCTCAAATGCGTCTCTGGTTAATCTCTAAACAAATTCATTTCTTTCATAGCATTTGTGAAGCTCAGAAACTGTTGTTATAATATTTACGTTTCTTTCTTGATATTCAGTATGCTGCAATTTTACAAGAGAAAGGTTAAACACGGATCTTTATAAAGGCCCCCCCCCCAGATCTTTCCACCGCCTCCAGGGGGGCGATCTTTCCACCGCCCCCAGGGGGGCGATATCGCCGACTTTAGGAATCACTGGGTCACTTTATCATGTGGTTAGTAAGAGTATTTTCATCGCGATCTGTTGGGCGTTCGTTGAAGTGTACGACGCAATCAAAGTGAAACCTCAATTCTTTTTGTGTGCAATTTTAGTCCATCTTTTGTTCAGCAATTCAATTTAACGATTAGAAAATTTCTTTGTTCCCAACACCCTTGCCGAACAACATCCGTTGGAGTTGACACTTGAATATTCACTGCCAAATTAGAACTTCTCAACAGCTGCTAATTATCTTTAGTTCGTACAAGTTTTTTTGCCGTTCACAATCCGTTAATGTCGTTCTCAACTGAGCTGCTCTCTCAACCGCTGAAATATTTGGCCGCGTGTCAGCTCACCACACACAGCAGACGTCACTACAGCAACACAGCACATCACACCTGACACTCAGGGACACGTGCGTGTGCTGAGTGTCTCGGTCACAAATCGTGAGTCTTCGTGCATTCCTCATGGCGGAAGATAATTGTCTTCAATAAATTATAAGACATACACAGCACTTGCTTCATTATCCGTTGACGTGATCGTTGTTTTTCCTAATACGAACACCAAATTGAAAAAAATGAGTTATAAATTGGATCTCCCCCCACATATACAAGCCTATTGGCGCGCAAGAAAATGAAGTCGCGTGTATACATGCGACCAGCAGTTAGTGCCTCTGTTACTAGCCAGTACTATATTGAATTCCAGTACAAGTGGGAATGAAGGAGGAAGTTAATTGATGATTAATTTTAATAACTAATCGTTTTGGGGCTAGTCCATCTTGTAGTGGAGTCCTGAAGAAGAAAAGAGCGACTAGGCCCGTGACCAACTATCGGCAGCGGGAGTTGCTGAGAAGAATGTAACTTCGAATGTGTCCAATATTGCGTAAATTTTGAAGTGACAAAATCTGATGAATCTTTTATTTGCCTCGTCATTATTTTACTTAAAGTTCTTAGTTAAAGTTTATCAGAGAAGTTCATAAGACTATTAAGGACACGAATGTGACTGATTCATGGTCGTTTCTCAGAGACACGGTTATGTCTGCAGTTGATGCTTGTGTAGTGTGTACCCAAGATTACGCTTGGAGGAGTCAAAAAGTCCCAGTGGATGAACAGTGCAGTTAAGACTCAGCTAAAGACCAAGAAAGAAGCCTACAAGNCCGAGTCTAGAGTTTGGAAACGTTGTGTGGTCACCGAGATTTGAAAAGGACAGAAATTTAATAGAGAATGTTCAAATACGTGCAACAAGAATAATTCCAGGCTTGAAGGGCAAGTCCTATGAAGAAAGGTTGAAGATTATGAAGCTTCCAAGCCTCAGTTATCGACGTCTGCGTGGGGACCTCATTGAAGTATACAAGTATACTCATGGTTTATACAAGGTCCCTAAAGGATTACTAGAATTTGAAACAGGAACCAACACCAGGGAGCACGGCTATAAACTAAAAAAACTGCGCTGCAACTTCTCCTCGCGACAAAATTTCTTCTCGCTTCGAATCACCGACATGTGGAACAGCCTCCCCGATGACATCGTTGGTGCTCCAAGTATGAACGCGTTCAAGAACAGAATAGATGAAACTATGGAAAAATATATGTTCCTGCTGCACCTGTAGAAGCAGGTACTGTACCTGCACTACTACCCTCAGCGCTTCATGTACCTGCTGCACCTGCAGGAACAGGTACTGTCAGATTTGAAATGCTTAGCACCATATCGAACCCGGTGGAAGTCTAGTAGCTACTTCAAACTATCGTCAGTCATGATAAGGTACGGTCAAATTACACGATTATAGATCTTCTGTGAACAAGGTACGAAAAGTTAAAGAATCGGCGACAGGCCACATCAGGCCTACACTTCAGCGCCGAGATCCCTATGTTATGTTATGAGGTTTTATTTTGTTTATAAACAATGCCCGAAATTAATTATCGATTTAAAATTATCATGTATTAAGTAAGTTTTATTTGTGTGTTTCTCCGCTCCTACACTTTTAGGCCGTAATTTGGGAAGAGTTTTGGGCATAAATTTCCCAGCAACTCGTACTTGCCGAACTCGCTAAATTCTAAAGCGATATTAATGTAATTAACATTCAAGCTTTCAGTTCAATTTGAGTCGTCGGAATTTTCGTTCTTTGCTCCCTTTTATTTATAAACTCTAGAACGCAAAGTTACTCAGGATTAATTATTTTACCTAAGAGCGTGGTTTCGAGAAAACTATAGCACGGTTAATTGGTGCTGCGAGTGAGAATTCCTGAAGGTACGATGAAGTGGTGAAGAAAACTGCAGTTTGAGTTACACTGAAGGGAGGCAATAAGTCTGACATATTATTGAATGAAGTGTCCTTTGCCCAACGGATCATAGTCAACACTATAACCATCACGCTTTGCAAAAATGCCAAGCTATAAATGAAAAATTAAAGAAATTAGAAAATTTTTAAGTATTTATTCAGCAAAGAATAGCTCGTAATAAAGTAGACTGACAGCCAGTTTAGAGATGGTTTAGTCCTGAGGTCCTGACGGCCAGCGGGTCCATAGTGACGATGTCGTCAGGGAAGCAATCCCTGACTAGGATACCGGTACCTTTGTCCTCCAGGTAATTGAGTTCGACGATGTAACCAAACCAGTAAATGACGAAACCAGGACCGAACCTGACGGAGCATTTCAGATAGAAATAATTCAACCAAAACGCCAAAAAAATTCAAGAACATAAGTTCATAAGGAATTTGAGCAGACTAATTATATGTAAGTACTTAATAACATGAATATTGCTATGTTTTTCTAACAAATTATTTTGTTGCTAGGACATGAAAGGGTAACCGAACAACGGAGCTGGTGTATAGTGTTGTCACCTATTCCAGTAGCTCCATAGCTGTTCGTTGAAGTACGATCTATGGTTCTCACGGTCACCAAACGAGGCTTTACTCTCGATCCAGTTCACCACTCGGCCTCCCACACCTGCAAGTAAATTTCTCTTTGACTAATGCAGTCAGGATAGACGTAGTTTCTCACATTTCGACTGAGTGACTCGAATGACAGTAGTTGATTTCATGAGTGTCTCTAACCATCATGACACTCTCACCATCACACGACACTATCACCATCACGATACTCTAACCGTCATGACACTCTCACCATCACACGATACTCTCACCATCACACGACACTCACCACCACACGATACGCTAACCATCATGATACTCTCACCATCACGACACACACCATCACAATCACGACACTCTCGCCATCACGACACACATCATCACCATTACCATCACGACACTCTCGTCGTCACGTCACACATCATCACAAGTGGCTACCATCACCATTCGCGCAGCTGCATCACCACTCACTGCTTGATGGTGTCAGCGAAGGGGCCGTAGACGTCGTCGTTCACCAGACACTGCCGAGTAACAAGCGATGTTAAGACCAAAATAATTGTATCAATTTGCAGGCAAGCAGGCCGGAAAAATCTTGATTCGACCGCAGCAATGTGCTATTATTAATCAAGGACTTTGAGTAGTATGTGCTTTTAATGATATGAATCATTAAGCATCAAAGAAAGTAGAGTGCTGCTAGTTATTTTAGTGAAATTCCATTAGAACTTGAAAATATAGAACAAATGCATTTAAAAAAACAGTCTCAAAACAGACTCGCATCTAAATCGCAGAGATATAATGTAATATTTTTTTGGTATACACTTACTAAATGCACTTCAAAGCTGAGGATCTTGTCAGGAATGAGGGAGGTGTCTCGCAACATCTTGTTAATGAGACTCTTGCTGCTGGCTGAAAGAAGAACAAAATATTATAAAACGCCATAACACATGTGTAGCCGATCAACAAACAGCTCAAACGCAATTATTAGATACAGCGTTTTAAATTATTTTCAAAATATGTCAAGTCAACTTCCCGCTCGTGTCATTCTGTACTAAGCAACAACGAATACTTTTGAAATATATGACCATAAGACGATAGTTCCATACATGACAAGTAGTAGTAGTAGGGAGAGGTTTCTAGCGCTTCAGATCAGTGTCGTCTATTTCGCGCCGAAGGTCAAATATTCGTTTTGCAGGGTCAGGCTTCTTCGTTGGTTTCAGGCTCGTAGCCTGATCCATCTGGTCTAGGGTGTATGCCTTTCTATTTCCAAGGCGCAGATTCTATCCGTCTTCTGCTTTTCATCTCAACCAGTAATATGATGACACGAGTATGGTGTTTAGTCGGAGGTGTGGGTCTCTTCAGACCTATGTCATGGTGCCGTGCTAGATATCTGGCAGCAGGTTACACTCGATTAGATATTGTCTGAGGTTGTCAGTCCCAAAGATGCTTCGGGGAACTTCCCTCAGCACCCTAGACAGCATTTCATTTGGGCTGAGAACAGTGGTGTTGGGGTAGTAGTTTTAACGAGCATCTCTGTGGCTCTCCAAGATTTCTGGTATGATGAACTCCACACTCGTACACAATCCTTGATTGTTCTTAGTTTGTTCTCTCTCACGTTCAGCCACTGTTCCTGCCAGATATGGCGGATGCTTGCCTTGATGATAGGGTAGTGGCCTCGGCAAGGGACCTGCTCACTATGGATCGCCTGGTCCGAAGATGCGGCGTTTACCGCCGTCTCATCCGCCCTCTCGTTGCCTCGCACCCCCACGCGTCCGGGCACCCAGCAGACGCTCACCGCACCATACATGACAACCTTGACCTAGAAACGTAATAATCCTTTAGCACACAAGAGATGATTAGTGGTAGATACAAACTTTATTAAATTCGGCTCAATTTGCAGTCTCATAAATAAGTGGATAGATAAGAGAATTAGCATCAACGTGAATATGAACTGAATATTGTCAATGGAAAATGTATGTTTGGTTGTAGACATTTTAGAATGAATGAGTGAATATCTCTATGAGGAAACTCAAGTTCAAACTTCGAAGTGCAAGACTAAATTGAAGAAACTAGAGTCACAGTTTTAGGGTTTGGCACTGTAGAAAAGAAAGGTAAAATACAAGACAGCAACACGGTTACAAGAAAAATTCAAGGTAATAAAATTTTAATTTATGACTTGAGATAGAATCATTAAATGATATTGAAATTGGAAATCATAGAAAAAGTGTTTTAAAATATAAAACTCACCTAGCATTTTACTTCTAGATTCTTAATTATAGATTTGGTAAACATATAGAGATTTTTCGGCAATGCACGGCCGAGCATTATTAGCTTACCGTTTTTCTTCTTTTCGCTAGGATGGGAGGCCCGCACCGCTCTTGCCTGACGCAGCGCAGGCTCGTGTATTTGTCATCACTGAATCATTTGCTTGAGCTTCCCTCGAGTCCTTCACTAAACTGGAATTCCGAGAGGGCGGTACGGTGAGGTCGTTAGCGAATTGCGTTTCACGCCTGTCTCCTCCCACTGAAGGTGCGACGCTTCCGATGCTGAGACCAGCTTGCATTTCTGCGGTGTCAGAAGTGTGCCCTAACACTTTGCTTGTATCTTTGCCCATCACCTCGTTACTGGGACTTAACGTCAGTAACTCGTTCACTGACAGATTATTGTCTGTTTGGATGGATTCCCAATTTGAAGACGGAACAGTAATATCGATGTTACAAATTTTATCTGTCCCATCAAATGAATATTCACCTTTTTCCGGTTTGGTAAAAACGTCTGATAGATCATTTCCCGGACTGCTCAGATTGTTCAGTGAATGTCTCTAATTATCTAACTTCGCTGATGTGTCAGGAATATTGACGGGACTACTACTGAAGTTCGACAAGGAGTCTTGCTGGTTCAATCCATTTTCTTCTTGAGCCACAGAGTCTAAAGAGGCAACTTCAGCGCTGCCGTTAGGAGGGGTTATTCTAGGAGAGGCTTGGAGGCCAGGAGAGGCTTGGAGGCCAGTAGAAGCTTGGAGGACAGACGAAGCGGGTGGCGAGGCTTGGTCGCGAGGCGGGAGGACAGCGTCGCCGGCAGCAACATTCAGTTCGTCGCGGCTGAGGAGCCAGCGCTCGAGCACAATCTTGGCCAGCAGAGCCGGGGGAAAATGCTTTTCGTGGCCATATGCAGTAGAATACCCGGGCCTTCACCGCGCTCTACAGCTTTCGTGTATCTGTAAAAAATTAACTATGTAAAAGTTGGGAATACATCCTCGTTCTTTACACACAAACAGTACAAGCAAAACAAATACTAACATTATTCGCCGATGTTCATCTCCCCCTCTGCGTAAACAATAGGTAATACTCCAGAGTCGAAAGTAAAGGGAGCAATAAAAAGCAACAAATACATTGTCGTAAAGTTCTTTCAAACAAAGGTGACCAACTGTTCTATTATTAACAATATCGTTTTCTCTATTATTGATTTAGTGATGTTTAAATAATTTGTTAAGAACTAACCGTTGCAATCGCACTATATACAAGACGTGGGTCAAGTTAACTCACTTTTTGAAGTAAGACGCCGGCTTGTGAGAATTGACAAACTTCTTGTAGTTTGATTTGACGTACTTCTGCACCTCCTGCGCTGCGATGCTGCTCAGTATGGCGGGCTCAAACCTGTACAACAGACGTAACATTTTAGAATATTACTCACTAATAACTCAATCCTTGCCTCATATTAAAGAAGATCACGAATAAAAATACGACTGCATACGCTGAAGTGGTTTAAAAAATTTATAAAACACGAACTGCGTCAATTCACGCCATCCGCTCTAGGACCTAATCCACTTTGCCAACAGCGGTTAAAAAAAAAGAGGTTCACCACTCTAATCATCGGCTATCAATAATAAACACTTCTACTCTGTTCATTACTCCCAGGCACCATGGACATGGCGGGAAAATTTCTAGTTAACCATCAAGTCCACACGTTACTCACTGCGGGAAGGAGTCAATGAGGTGCTGCGTTGGGTCTGCTCCTGCGTAGCAATTGAATGCCTCCACAATTTGGTCGAAGTCCTGAGCCTTCATTACTATAGCAATATATTATATATCAATTGAGTTTTCTATTATAATCAGGTCTAGAAACGTACATATCAAAAATTAGTGATTTCTAAAGTCAGATTACTAGCGTGTAGTGCAACATGTCAAATATACTGAAATATCAATAGGACAGAACTTCAATAGAACCAGGGTTGGCAATGATTAAATCATTTGATTTTTTTTATAAAAAATCATGATTTTTCGATTTTTTTTTTATTTATTCGATTTGTATATATATATATTTAAATATATTGAGTGGCAGTCTTTAATTTATTTTGCGGTATTGTTATTCACAGTTTAGTATAAATGTACTATGAATGATAAATTGGTATTTAAACTTGATGCCTTTAGAGTGTATTAGGATCCAATAAATTGAATGTTTTTCGTCCAGAGGTATCAATTGTTGCAATACATTGTACATAGCTAGCTAGCAGCTTAGCTAATTCTTATAAGGCTATAAGTAGTCTTTAACTATTTGTTATATATTGATTACAATATACATTTTGAATGTGTTAACTAGTTTATCCAGGGTGGGGCAGAACCGATTGAGCAGTTTTGAGACGAAATAAAAGAGCAATGAAGGCACCTAAAGAAGAACGTTTATTTTCCTCAAGATTAGCATAACATACCATTTAAAATACTTATGTTTTGAAAACAATATCAGGAAGATTGTGTCTGTTAGCTGCAACACACTGTTTGAGTCGTTCTCGGAAGTTTTCTACAGCACGTTCACACATATGGCGAGGTATGGTCATAACCTCTGCTGCACTAATCCGTTCCCTTAGCTGTGGTAAGGTGTGAGGGCGACTTCTGAACCCCTTTCTTTTAGATGTCCTCAAAGAAAGAAATCGCAAATGCTCAAATCATGTGACCTCGCAGTCCACTATAAATCACCCCTCAGAGACACCAGACCTCCAGGAAACATGCATTTCAAAACTTTGAGTAACATTCGGGCTGTGTGAGCTGTAGCCCCATCCTGCTTGAACCACACGTCTCCCAATGCTTCATTTTCAACAATGTTTTCCATCCTGGGCTGCAAGAAATTTTGCAACATTGCAGCTTAGCGATCGGAATTCATTATCACGGTTACTCCCTCCTATGAGAACGACTCCAATAGTGTTTTGCAGCTAAAGCCCCTATCTTCCAGATATTGTTTTAAAAACATAAGTATTCTAAATGGTATGTCATGCTAACCTCGAGGAAAATAAACTTTCTTCTTTATGTACCTCCATTACTCTTTTTTTTTTACCTCAAAACTGCTCAATCGGTTCTGCCCCACCCCATATATTGAGAAGTTGAGATTGTATTGACCTATTAGGCAATTAGAAAGATTTTCCACCCTAATACAAGTATTCTAATTAAAATATTCAATTTAAATCTTTAAATATGTGAATTTAAAACTAGAAACAAAACAATTAAAATTATAAAACTATATATAAAAAAGTAATTAAATGCAGTGAATGAAAATAAAATGTTTGAATTGTTCACATGTTTATTTCAAAGTGTTAGCTTTTCTCATAACTTAAGTCTCATTTCAAGTCGTTTGAGGTTTGTTTGGTTATCGTTCAGTTTTTGTTTAGTATTGGTTTATTGGTCTGAATTAAGTGGGAACAGTGCAGTCAGTCACTCAGTCACTACAAGTCAGTGTGTATAGAGGGTAGAGTCTGGTAGATTTATAGGACATAAACTAGTAGATCTATTGATAGTGTTGTGCACTGTGCTATCAGCTACCTATCTGTTATGTGACTCTTCAATGTTTAGAAGATCTGCATTCCTGAAGTGTTTTTGTATATTGAAGCCAGTTAAATGGTCAATATTTAGCTCGTTACCTGGCTCTATACAAACTTTACAAAGCTAATGAATAGACTTATCAATAATTGTTTACCCAAAAATCCCAAAATGGTAAACACCACCTTGGCCTGTTGGCCATTATTGAAGGCAATAAGTGCCCTTTTTAGCCATCCCTTATGATCCATATACTGTTATTGTTAGTAGGCTAATTGCAACATAAAAAATAACCTTTCAAAAAGACAAAAAACTGAAAAATAAAAAAATCAAAAAAATAAAAAAAATCATGAAATAAAAATAAGAAAAATTATTGATTTTTGATTTTTTTAAATCAAAAAATCACCAACCCTGAATAGAACAGCACAATAATTTTTTTTTAACTATGTACTGTTTCTAGATGGGATCTTGAGAAAGAAATTCAAATTCAAATAAATTCTTGGCTTGGCATTTCCACAAAAATAGAGAATAAAAAAAAATAAATTGATGCAAATTATAGGAATAAGATTCAATTCGAGAAAATTCGAGCGCGTTCAAAATTCTAATTGAATGGGACAAATAGTAGAAGAAATTTACATGAAACGAAAATAATGGAGCTGGGAATTCCAGAGGTCTTAGTCTCCAGCCTCACCAGCGGTCGGCGGCATTACTTCATTCCCATTGAATATAAATAACAAGCAAGTTATCAGAGTATTGACAAATTACGTAAAAAAAGTAAAATGAAATACAAAGTTTTGAACAATATATAATGCCAAATTTGCATTCTGCGGCGGGTAAGGCCAGAGACCTCCCTGAGATGAGGTTATTGGATACGAACGAGGAACTGTTCAACAGTGCATTTTAAGAATACCTTCGTTACAGCAGTTGTAGTGTGGCAGCTAATAAACAAATTAAAAGCATTGAAGTGATACAAAAGACAAAAACATTGGTCTTTCATGAGAAAACTACAGTATTAAAATTGTAACTAAATGAAATCAACAAGAGATATTGAGTGCAAAATTTAGTGCTATTCTTCAGTGATATCAAGAAAACAATTGTACATTTTTCAACTTATATGTTTATAAGCCGGAAATTCGCGTTAGGTAAACTTCAACTTTAGAACATCAGTTTTCTACATATACCAGCCAGGAAACCTAATATCTCACAGCAATACGCTACATAATCCCAGCAAGCAAACGTTTTCTGGAATTTGCAAATTGCACTAAATTAAAATATTTGTTAAATTCATCACATGGCCTTCATATACGAATGAATATCGTTGAATTAGATTTCTCCGATGCTGGGTGTAGTTATGAATATCATCGAATCATCAAAATCAATTCAGCTGATGCTGGGTGAGAAGATTCAAGACGTCGTGGTTATGTATGCATGAATATCATCAAATTCTCCACTAAAATTAGACCGATCCATGGTGAGAAGACGTCGTGGTCATGTATGCATGAATATCATCAAATTCTCCACTAAAATAAGGCTAAAATAATATTCAACACGCGGTCTGAGGTTGCGCTGAACTCACAAAGGCGTTATAGGACTCGAGGAAATGCGTGATCCTCTGACTTTGTTCTTGCTCCTGCTCCTATTGCTCGCTGTTCCTGCTCGTCAGCTCAATCAGCTTCTCCCCGTCAGCCATGCAGTCTAGGGTCAAATGCCAGGGTAACAAAAATGCACGAGTGTTGATGTGAAAATGTAGAAGGATGTATAAAATAAATGTACCAAAGTTATTTGTTTAGTAAAAGCATCTCATATTAGAAATGCACGTTCAAAATGAATTTAACCACAACAGGTCAACAATGATGGCCATTAATAAAGTACATATAATGAATAAGCTCATATAACATAAAATTATGATTCATTGATTCAAACTGTATCAAGTCAATATGTCTTCAGTATAGCTAAGCTAAGTTATTAAGGTTATTAGTGGAGGAAGATTTCTAATGCACAAAAAAAAATTTTGAAAATCTTGCATTTTATTTTTAGTCATACAAAAACTGATTTTCCATTATTCATCATATCCTAAAAGCAAATATCTCCTTTAATTGGATTAGAAGTTTAATAGATAGAAACCCCAGTGATGGGAGCATAATAATTGGAATTACGCCAAAACTTAAACTTTACTGTAAGTTACTGGAAATTTTTAGACGACAAGTACATTAACACAAGCGATGGTTTTAAAATGATCGGAATAATGCAAAACATAGAACATTACAGAACCTTTATTTTGAATTGTCTCGAAGGCAAAATGAGCAGCATTTCACTGATCACCAGCAATAGGCTGGGAGTTGAGCACAGGTCTGAGCTGTGTGAGGTGCTGGAGACGCTGGTGCTGCTGCTGCCAGTGCTGCTCCTGGCTCAGAAGAACGTCGCTCAGTGTGCCCACAGGAAGCTGGGAGGCAGACGTCCCGTAGCAAGGATCCAAGTACTCATCCAGCTCATCAACTGTCGTGGTCAGATAACTGTGACTAATAAATGATCCAGCAACTCCGACTACTATATAATTATCCAGCCGTTAAAACTAAGTAAAGCCATTCCAACTATGGGATCCTTCAACTGTGGAAGCTAAATAATTCATCAACTATTACATCACAACTCATCAACTATAAAAACATCACAGGTCATTAACTGTGACAAAGTCGTAATTCGTCAATTGGCATTGAAATTTTTTATCTATTGTTCTAACTACTCAAATAATTGTGACTCGCATCACAGATACTCAAGATATTCATAAGACTCAAGCTTTATGAAAAAATGAGGGATCGTTCAAGCCCAACAGTGTTTGCCTAGTTAAAGAAATACACATAGGTAAATCACAATCTACCCTGATATTTTCAAATTTTCGATAAAGTTCTTGTTTAATTTTTAGAAAAAACAATAGATATTGTCCAATAAAATGCCACACTAATAGAAACTTCTGAATAAAATTACATGGTTGAATTACTGGGTGAAATGAAGGGAATGAATTCATAATTAAAACGACTTAGTTGATTTCAAGTGATAAATGGCAAGTTAAATCAGAGTGCAAATTAACATAGAAGTTCTGAGCAAAATGCCTCGACTGAATTGAAGAAAATATCACTTTGACCTTAGAAGTAGAATTGCATGGCTAGAGTGAAATTTTTAATGAATTTTAGGATAAAATATTTGTAATAATTACTTAAATATTGATCAGAATGATAACTGGAAAAATATTGACAAATGTATGCTCCACTAAAATTTGAGAGATAGTATAAGTCAATACTAACGCCTCTTCATGACAGCCATCATGCGGTCCCGGGTGCTCAGAGCATTGCCCAGATCAGTGCTCAGCACAGCCAATGTGCTGATCACCTGCGCAGTTTATGATTATTTATATTATTAGCATTATGCAGTTATTATCATAGTGAAGCTGGGCACTTATTTGTCAGTTGTTTGGTAATCAACAAGGATCCCTACTTAAGTGCATAAGAATGTACAATTATTTGAATGAGCTAGAATAAAACATTCTATAACAAATCTTCCAAACATGACAGTTGATCAATAAACTTAACCATTGATTAATAAACTACACTTACACTTGATTAATAAATTACTACTTAATAAACTACTTACACTAATTAATAAACTTACTACTTGGTTGATCAATAAACTACACATTCATGGTCTCAGATCCAAACAATTTTTGCATAAGCATAACTGAGAGATAACGTTTCAGGATTATTTAAATGTGTACTAGTTCTATCAGCGTCATAGTCAGCATTGTGCTGGTGGATATCTGGCTGCATGATCAGTGCTGCTGTAGGGCACTTACAACCATGAATATACTGTATATATATATAATCTTAAATTCAAAGTGGATGTCAAATTTCCTTCCTCATCTCTTCTTCAGTTCCCTTCCAAATTAGAACACTATTGGACTAAATAGGGAAAATGAAGAAAAAGATTGACATTAGTTTGTTGCTGCTGAGTGCTGACGTAATTGTCAATGTATATTTGATTAACAATCATGAATGAACAGAAAATATTAGGCCAGAACTGATAGCTTATAAGAATTCCCTGAAAATAATGTTTGGCATAATCAACCAAAGCCATCATTTTGCTATTAGAAAAAAAGTTGGGGTACATGAACTATACTATAACTATACTATACTAGAACTATACTATACTACAACTATAAAATCAGTTAGCTAATTTTTCTTCCTGGGAGCTGACATCTAGAAACTTGTTGATTGCAGTGCATTTAGTGCATGATAAAATAAACGGGTAAGACAGCTTCAATTAAAATGAAGTTATGCAGAGATTTCTTCAATTTTTCAATCAAAATTGTTGGTGAATTGTTAGTCCAAGCCACAATATTTCCAATTATTGAACTTACAACTATTAACAGAATCATATAACATTAAAGAAGAAGGTGACTGCAATTTCCATAAGGCTCCAGGTGCACGTCAATAAACTTGCCTCAGATTTTCTTACACACCAAAAATAGCCATTCTTGGCTGGCAGCTTCAAATCACACCATATAATAAACAATTTTATCTCTATGAATAAACACCAACACAAAATGTTATGTGGTCTGGCTCCAAGGGGTTTAGTCAGTCTCAATATAAATATGCAAGTGTAAAAGGTCTTGATAACTGCTATTGTATGATGCAAGTCAACTGTTTTGTACAGCACAAAAACTTAGTTATTCACATATGAACATTGCCTCTGTTATCAACTTGCATGTTTAAATAGTACAGCTTTGTGTTAATAGGTATTTCATGTCCATTGCTCTTCCTTCAGGCAACTTACTGAGCTAGTCTTGGGTTCAGTCCTCCAGTTTACATAATACATACCGTACCTAATACGTAATTAGATGCAATATAATTACCCTATAAAAAATACAACAGCTTAAAAAATACAACAGCTCCAAAAATGGCAGGAAAGCTCCAATTGTAAGAATTAAGTAAATTTATCCAAGTATAGGTGAAGATTGACTTCTGACTTACCTCTGGATAATTTGTGTCTCTTGGAGCTGAGCCAAACATTTTCTGTTCTAGTTGTTTAAGCTGAGACTCTAAAAACTCCAAAGTTGTTCTTCACTTCCACTCATGGCTGACATGGAGAAAACCTGAATATAAATAAATCAATTGTACAACAGCTAGTGGCTCATTATATATACGTAGGTATTTTCAATTGCTGAATTTAATTAGGGATAAAAAATTTTCTGTAAATGCTAGATCCTTTGAACAAATATGGTTTATTATGATATGAAAATAGGAGATGAAAGAAATATGTAAATTTAATAAATGAAAATTTAGGAAAAAACGAACCATGACGAATTCAGCCTATTAACTTTATTCTGGTATCTATTTCAGAAATAACATACCTATAAATATGTATTGAGTATGTCATAAACATTCAATTATGGGTTGCCAGTCCAAACAAAAACTTGCTTTATTAAATAAAGAACAATGCCTTTTAATCAGGTTTTATATATCATACATGACTAGAATAATCAGGTTTTAAGAAGACTTTCATTTGCCAGTTGCCATTGTGGTCAAGAACTAACATTACAACCAGACCTATTGGTAGTCTGATGACTCACACAGTCTTAGAAATACTATCCAAAATTGAGTCAATAAACTGGGATGAATTTGAAGTTGTAATATGATTGGAAATAAATTTATAAATATATTGGAAACCACGGATAATTTTCATCATGTACATTTACACAATTTAATTATAGGGTCCAGATAATTTACTCACCAACTCTATTTCTGAAGTGAATCAATTTCAGCCTGAATTTGCAGAACTTTTCTATGCAGTCTATCTTTCCTTCTCTTGTCATTGTTCCTTGCGCCAAAAGTCACCTCGCGTGGGTGGAGGCTCCGGTGATGGTCGGAGGGGTGGCACTGAAAGAGGGGGAAGATGGGCGAAAGCAGGGAGGGTGGCCAGGAACGCCGACGCCTACACAGGGTTGTCGCACATAGATGAGATGCTGAGGGACATGGGGAAGGCAAAGAGGTGCTGGACGGATTGGAGGGGATCCCAGCATTCCAGGCAAGCGGCGCTAAGGGAGCGCTACACCATGTGGGTGTAGGATGCAAGGGAGCTGCAGTATCCCGAGTGTAGCTGGGATAGCACTGAGCAGTAACGATGAGGGGGCAAAGCCTCTTCTGCTGCAATTGGTGGTGGTGGGGTTGTGAGGACAGCATTGTTAATGGGAGTTGACGCAACACGGGTGGCTATCTCCCTGCGGAGCAGGGTTGGTGATTTTTTGTATTTCTTAAAAAAATCAAAAATCAATGATTTTTTTATTCATCTGATTTTTTCAATTTTTTCAACTTCTTTGTCTTTTTGAAGTGTTATTTTTTATGTTGCAATTAGCCTACTAACAATAACAGTATATGGATCATAATGGATGGCTAAAAAGGGCACTTATTGCCTTTAATAATGGCCAGCAGGCCAAGGTGGCGTTTACCACTTAGGGATTTTTGGGTAAACAATTATTGGTAAGTCTATTCATTAGCTTTGTAAAGTTTGTATGGAGCAAGGTAATGAGTTAAATATTGACCATTTAGCTGGCTTCAATATACAAAAACACTTCAGGAATGCAGATCTTCTAAACAATGAAGAGTCACATAACAGATAGGTAGCTGATAGCACAGTGCACAGCACTATCAATAGATCTACTAGTTTTATGTCCTATAAATCTACCAGACTCTACCCTCTATACACATTACACACCAACTAATAGTGACTTAGTGACTGACTGCACTGTTCCCATTTAATTCAGACCAATAAACATTACTAAACATAAACTGAATGATAACCAAACAAACCTCATACAACTTGAAATGAGACTTAAGTTATGAGAAAATCTAATACTGTTTGAAATAAACATGTGCACAATTCAAATATTTTATATCCATTCACTGCATTTAATTATTTTATAAATTGTTTTGTTTCTAGTTTTAAATTCACATACCAGTATTTAAAGATTGAAATTAAATATTTTAATTAGAATACTCACATTAGCGTGGAAAATCTTTCTACTTGCCTAAAAGGTCAATACAATCTCAACCTCAATATACAGGGCGGGGTAGAAACGATTGAGCAGTTTTGAAGTAAAATAAAAGAGTAATGGAGGTACATAAAGAAGAAAGTTTATTTTCCTAGTGGTTAGCATAACATACCATTTAGAATACTTATGTTTTGAAAACAATATCTGGAAGATGGGGGCCGTTAGCAGCAACACACTGTTGGAGTCGTTCTAAGAGGAAGGAGTAACCGTAACAGTGAATTCCGATTGCTATGCTGCAGTGTTACAAAATTTCTTGCAGCCCATGATGGAAAACATTGTTGAAAATTAAGCATTGGGAGACATGTGGTTCCAGCAGGATGGAGCTACAGCTCACAGAGCCCGAATGTCACTCAATGTTTTGAAACACATGTTCCCAGACTCTGAGGGGTGATTTACAGTGGCCTGAGAGGTCACCTAATGTGAGCATTTGCGATTTCTTTCTTTGGGGACATCTAAAAGAAAGGGGTTCAGAAGTCGCCCTCACAACCTACCACAGCTAAGGGAACGGATTATTGCAGCAGAGGTTATGGCCATACCTTGCCATATGTGTGAACGTGCTGTATGAAACTTCTGTGAACGACTCCAACAGTCGTTCCTGATATTGTTTTCAAAACATAGGTAAGTATTTTAAATGGTATGTTATGCTAATCTTGAGGAAAATAAACTTTCTTGTTTCTGTACCTCCATTACTCTTATTTCGCCTCAAAACTGTTCAGTCAGTTCTGCCCCACCCTGTATAAGCTAGCTAACACATTTAAATTGTATATTGTACTCAATATATAACAAATAGTCAAATAGTTAAAGACTACTTATAGCCTTATAAGAATTAGCTAAGCTGCTAGCTACGTACAATGTATTGCACACTTGATGCCTCTGTACCAAAAACATTCAATTTATTGGAACCTATTCAATTTATTCCAATTCATTCAATTTATTGGAACAAGTTTATATACCAATTTGTCATTCATAGTACATTTATACTAAACCATGAATACTAATACCTCAATATAAATTAAAGACTGCCACTCAATATATTTAAATATATGAAAAAATAAAAAAAAAATAAAAAAATCTAAAAATAAAAAAAATCAAGATTTTTTTATAAAAAAAATCAAGTGATTCAATCACATGATTTAATCATTTTGATTTAATCATTGCCAACCCTGCTCGCTCCATAGGCACTGTCGGGCATAATGCCATGAGCCAGGAAAGGCACCACAAGGTGGCTGAACCTTGTCTTGATTGACGCTTTCATGGGGAGGTCTCTGGGGGGGAGCAGAGATGATGTTGAAAAAAGTATGGGTAGGATGGAGGGCTCTGGCAAGAAATTGAGCACAGGCCAGGTCCAGGTGGGCGGACAGGGGGAGGACGCCGGTCTCATGGTGGAGATGGGCGATTGGGGCCATCTTGAGGCAGCTGGTGGCTAGTCTCAGGGCTGAGTTCCATATAGAAGGAATGAAGGCCGTGGAGACAGAGATATTAAAGATGTGGGAGAGGAACTGGAGGCCACATGGGCCAAGGTGTTTGAGGTGGAGGACCGTGAGGCCATCTGGACCTTGAGCGGAAGAATTGTTAGCGGCTCTGATGGCAAGTTTCACCATGTTGGGGGTGAAAGGGGCGGTGTCCTGTCCGGGGGGTGCTCAGCCAAAATTCAACACATAAGGCAGCAAGTGGATGGGTTTTGGGAGTGCAGAGCGATGGAGGTGAATAGTTTGCAGAAGGCGGTGGAGATCTGCGCTACAACAAGAGGGGGGTCTGACCAAATTGGATTGGCTGGTTGGGTGGAGGGCGGCTAAGCTTTCCGGATAGTGAGCGGAAAAGGTTCCAGTGTTTTGACTGGTGATTTTGCCTGTTGCACGAGGCGAGATGTGTCTGCCACATATTCCTGGCATGGGATTGTATTGAAGTGGAGATTTCTAGGTTGAGATTGGTGAGCCAGTGGTCATTAGGGTTATGTGCTCTGATGTCATCCCATTGCTCCATGAGCAACCGGGTGCAGGGCTGACAGCGGGGGAATACTCCTTTCTAAAGCCTGCAGGGATGTGCTGCTTGGCAGCAGCCGCCAGGACGCCCCTAAGGGTCGACTCACCTCCGCATGAGGTGGGGGAAGGGACTGCCTTGAGTGCTGCTTCAACTGCTGCCGTGAAGGCGAGCCAGTCCACTTTCTTAAAGTTAGTATAAGAACCGGCCGTCCGGGGAGCTGGAGACTCTATGGCGGGAGGTAGATGAAGCAGGATGGGCAAATGGTCGGAATTTAGGGCGACTTGAGGAGTCCATGAGGTTCCTTCTCTTGATCCACTCAATCCTCCAGGATTTTGCTTGATATCCACAAAAAAAGCCAATAAGAAATGTAAAGCCAAGAAGTACGCTTGCTTGATATCCAAAAAAAAAGCCAGCAATAAATGAAAGGCCAAGAGCTATGCTTAAATCAGAGACACAAATTGTAACCTCTTTTGCAGGCATTTCTTACACTGAGAGAAGAAAATATAGTGTGATAGTCATAGTATTGTCTGGCAAATTGCAATAACCTACCATATAATGGGGTAATAAGGAACAGTTAAGCATTTTTTGTTAACTTCTTACCATGAAACTTTTCATAAATGACTTTTGGCTCATTTTAAAAGTCTTTGCAAGGGCTATTGTGTGGCATCTTCAAAAATTCCATATGCTATTCATAAGGTGCCAGATGCAAAATAATAGCATCCTGAATTACCCCTGGTAATGGGGTTATGTGAGAAACTTGAAATAAAACTTAATTTTAAAACATTTGAAGCATGCAAAGAGTGCTGTCAATCTGGGTAAAAAGGGATGGTTTTGAGCATTTTTTGTTAATAACTTCTTACCATGAAACATTTAATAAACAAGTTTGGGCTCATTTTAAAGGTCTTTGCAAGGGCATAATGGCATCTCCAAAAAAATTCCATATGCTATTTGTAAGGTGCTAGACACAATATAAAAGGCTCCTGAATTAATCTGGAAATGGGGTAAAACCTTGAAATAAAACTAAATTTTAAACATTTGAAGCATGCAGAGTGTACTCATCTATTACAAACAGTACTCTGAAGTCCTCTTCTTCTTTTGTAGATGCTGTAAATGTAGAATAAATGAAATTTTCTGTGATTTTTACTTGGTTTTTCTTCATTGATGTAATATCACCATATCCATTCATCACCATATTATTAATGTGATATTACTGTATCCATGGACATGCCATTGAGCATTGACAATGACCTTGTCCACTGCAAGCTTCATATCAGCAGCCATGTAGCTTTTCTTCTGTATCTGTAAGCTTACAGGATGCTTTGCAATTTTGCACAATTTTAATCCAGTCAAGTGATTTCATTATAACAAAAAAGATTATAAAAAACATACCTGAAACAGGAAGGAATATTTTATTGACAACCATCATATTTTTTGAAGAAATAAATCATAGTTTAGGTTAATTACTTTTCATTCTTTGTTACCCAGTGCTCAATTCTATCTGTGACATTCTATGAACAATTTTGTAATGACTGATGCAGTACCGTAATTTTTTATTAAGTGAAATTTTTTTCAATGAGCGAGGTAAATGTAATCAAAATTCTTTGTTGTTAATTGACTTTTTCATTAACTGGAGCCTTTGCTAACCAAGGTTCTACTGTAAATGCAATTTTAGGGGTGTCCCTTATTACCCCAAGGAGGGTGTCCCTTACTACCACATTTTGTGGAAATGGCTGCCATTTTTTCTTGGAATGAGATATGCAAATTCTGTCAATCACGTTTTTAAGCCAACACTAGTGTGCAACTTTCATGTAAGTAAAATTTTTCAATACAAATATTTTTTCTGCTAGACCTTAGCAGAGGTACTTATCCAAAATCTCACTTTTCATACTTTTTTCAGGGATTTTTTTAGAGGCAATAAATGTATGATTTCTAACTTGCTTTATGCTGCATAGATAGTAAAAATGTTGAACTTTACACCACTATTTTTAGTTTTGCAATACTTCAATTAGTTTAGCTGCTACAACATTTCTACAAAATGTTGGAGGACTGTCATTTTTTACCCCGTTTGACGGTACTCATCCACTACTAACAGTACTCCAAAGTCCTCCTCTTCCTTTGTAGAGTAAATGATCTACATGTAGAATTTAAAATGACATTTTCTGTGATCTTTACTTTTAAGCGCATTTTCTCATTTATGGAAAAATGCACTATTGTGCTCGCCATGTCTGTCCATCCATCCCTTCGT